CAAAACCCTCTAATCTTATCCTAACTTTATTCTTACCTAGCTAAAGAAGCACAAGCCAGAACAGTAACAAAAATTACCCTTGAATCAGATACTAAAATTATAAAATCAGTCAAAGAGTCTCAGTTTAAAGCAGCTTATGAATGCAAGGAAGAGTCCTCCACAGAAACGTCAAGTGTGACAGGAACTTCAGCTCATACAAACAAACAAAGGATCCAAGATGATTACCCTGACATAGTGCCTTGTGAAGACATCGAAGACATCGCAGAACCTAACACCACCGTACCAGTCTTCCTTGAAACTCTGCCCCCAGAAACCTTTGTCAAAGAAGGAGATGATATCTCGCTTTTCTGTGTAATTAAAGGTGTTCCTACACCTTGGGTCATCTGGCTGTATAATCAGTTAATAGTTGAGGAGTCTGCATTATGTTCTTTAAGGCACGATGGTCCCCTATGCAGTTTAAAATTACTGAAAGTTAATGAGAATCAGAGGGGTATATACAAGTGCAGAATAATTAATTCTGCAGGACAAGCCGAGTGCAGCACACATCTGAGAGTGACAGGTTGGCAACTGCATGTTCCTTCCATATACAACCTCCTCCTGCACTGAAACCTGCTTGCTTCTCAGTACATGATAAAAAAAGCCACTGTGGATCGCTGAATATTTTCATCACGTTATTAAAGGCATGTTAAAGGCATGTTGAATTACCCCACCTCCCCCCAAAAGAAGAAGAAACCCTTTTATAATATTGTGGAGGATTAGAACATTCTTTAGTTCCACTTTTTTTTTTTTTTTTTAAGACTTATTGGGCATTTCCTGGCATGTATATGTCTGTATGTTTGTGTGATTTTTTTTTTCTTTTAGCAATGCATCATGAAGTATTGTTCTGTCATAATATTCAAATGTTTATTCTTTCTTTCTTTCTTTCTTATTACAGCTCTGGAAAAAGTTCTTCAGGAGAAGATAGAGCAGCAGATTGAAATGGAAGTTAAAGGTACAGTCTCAAAGGGATGTTATACTAAATTTAGCATAAAGGTTCAGTAACTACCTTAAAAAGCCTATACAAGGAGAATTTATTCTAAAACATCCAGATATGTTGCATGTTTTGTTTTGGTTTTTTTGTGTTTAAATATGCTTTAGACATTTTGCATTACAAAAGAGTACGAGTTTTAAAGTACATTTAAAGCTTTCACGTTATAGATGTGCAGTTTTTATTTTCAGTACATGCTGTGCAGCTGGTTGCAAAAGCTTCCTTTTCACGTATCTCCTTCTAATGCATGAGAATCCTTAAAATTCCATTGGATTTCTAATAGTGGTTTCAAATATATTAGTTCTGTAGCATTAGTTCGTCAATAAAATTGGGGTGGCTTATGTCTACGAAATGGTTTTATGCAAGAGGATAAAGTGACCTGTTTTCATTGTGCCCTCCCGTGGTATGCATTTAATTCTCCATGATAGATTTCTTACACTGGCTTGCAGATAGAATAGTTGGTTACTGTTGCTTGCTCCTTTTTTTTTTTTCTTCTTCTTTTGAATAACATTGTGAGGTTAGCAGCTGTATTAGTTCGAATAAACGCCTTCTCATTTCATTTTAGTAAATTATTTATAGTTAATTTCTAATAGTTTTGAAAATAATCTTTTTAAATTGTTTGGCCATCATAACTCACAATCAAAGAGCTCAGAAAGGGCGTTTATTCTACTGTCTGCAAGTCAGGTAAGAATCCCTCCCCCCTTTTGCAAACAAAACATTTAAACTAAATAAAAAAGCTTTTCGGGCAGTAAAACATGCACTCACAAGAACATGTCCTTTTGAGATTCATTTTTGCTTGTTGCTGAAGAAATTTTCCACAGTTGGAAGAAAGAACCGCCAATGAACCATTTTCGTGTCAGAGTCATTAAAACAGAGCAAGTGTTGCGTTTATTCGAACAAATATGGTGAGTGAATTTTTTTATGTATTTGGGATGAATTTGTAGCATGCTCATTATTTAATTTCATTTTTAGCAATTTCATTTTTTTTCTCTACCTATTTGATGGAAAGAGCAACGTATGCTGCAATGTAATGTTATTCTCTTGCAGAATTGTTCTTCGGTGAAGAGCCAGAATATACAACAAAAAAGCCCATTGTTGAAGAAGAAACTTTTGCTGATTCGGAAGATCTTCTGAGATCTCTGTCTAATCAGAATTGTGCAAGTAGAATCAGAGCTATGGCCCCCTGTCCTGAGAAACTGAAACCTTCTTTCATACAGAAATTAAAATATCAATCTGTTTTGGTTGGAGAACCAGTTGTTTTCCAGTGCAAACTAAGTGCTTATCCCTCACCCAAATTTACATGGTTTCATAACAACAAACAAATCCCCCAAGGTCTACGAAGAATAATAAAAAATGAGAACTGCATAGATATGCATAATTCCAGTCTAGAAGTTAAGGAGGTTCAGGAAGAGGACTCAGGGAGCTATAAGATTTTTGCTATTAATAGTGAGGGTTCAGCTGAGTCCACAGCATCTTTGTTAGTAATTCATGGGATGGAACAAAATGCCAAGTATCTAGAGTTTCTAAGAAAGTCAAAATGCACCCGTGCCCCTATAGAACATATGATGCAGAAAAAGAGAGATGATAGGCTTAAGGTTGACCTGAGATGCATTGGTTCGCCATTTGATAAGAGGCAGGAGACTGAGAAAGCATTAACTAATTTGTCGCCTACCAAAGGGAAGGTAAGGACAATAAGTTTTGAAAATACCCCCTCTCTAAGACAGGAACTTATGTATGATAATGATTGGGTAGGAAAAAAGCATTCGGTTAGGGTAGGAAGTGCCAAAGAGACTTTGCTTGATGAGGAAATCAGGCTCAAGTTACGGCGTCTTCGTGAGGCAAAAAAAGTTATGCTAGAAAAGAAAAAAGCATCAATTGAAGCACAGCATGTGAAAAATGTTGGATTTAGGGATAAGATAAACCTACCAGCTCATCCAGTCTGCATGGCAGCTCAGCTAGGAGCAAAGAGGCCTGTCTTTCAGACAACTGAGGAAATCCATGAAAAGAAAATGCTGGACCCAGAGGAATTTACCATAGGACATTCCAATGGACAGCTTGAGAAAACTTCAAAAGAGTTCCATATTAGAATGGAACAAATTCTGGGCCTTTCTGGGCCTTCCCAGGCTCCCCAGGAGTCAGCCAATAGAAGCAATACAGAAAAAATGTTCCAGAGACAAAAGGTCTTTAGCAGAGCAATGAAACAAGAAGTTCCAAAACCAGTTTCAGTGTCAGAAAGGAATGCCAGATGGAAGGAAGGAAAGTCCTTCATCCAAGGAAAGTCATTAGAAACAAAAATGGATACCAAATTAGAGGAACATTCTAAAGATTTCATACCTATAAAATCTGTTAAGTCAACCCCCTCCCCTCTGGTTTATGTATTAATGACAGATGATGTCAGTGAGAGAAAGAGACCAGAAATGGTGGTGTCTGATACAATTACATTTAATGTCAATGAATCTACAGCAGTTTGTGAGAGCAGGGGAATGAGCAAAAGTGTTGAAATGGAAATGTCAGTAAATGAATGTTCTTTTGCAAGCAAAGAAAAAATATCAGAAGGAGTAACTGAAATTAAGGAAACTTGTGTGCAACTAAGGACTCCTCCAGTGCAACATTTGGAGCCATGCCCTCCTTTTTTTATCCACGAAATTGAATCTCAAGAAATAAGTGAAGGAGAGAGTTGTACTTTCAGTTGTGCTTTCCAAGCCTACCCATACATCACAGTTACTTGGTATAGCAATGACAAACCATTATCATCACTTAGCCAAGATTGCACCATTAACACCACAAAAAATCATTCTGTGCTGACATTCTCAGCTGTTACCCGCAATCAGGAAGGATCTATTACTTGTGTGATATTTAACCAATATGGAACTGCAACAAGTTCAGGCATGCTAAGAGTGAAAGTAAAAGAGATATCTGAATTGGAACCATTTGGTATATGCAAAGTCAAACTATTACCAGATTATACAGAAGAGGAAGAAGAACTTAGCTTGGTATTTGACAATAAGAAAAAAGATGAACCAGTTTTAAGTACTGCTAGTAAAGCCACACTCTTGCTTCCACCAGTTCATCTCCCTCAACCTTGCATTTCCAAAACAGATCAACTTTCTCTTCCATTGGAAATCAAAATAACTGCCCCAACCCCAACTCCAGAACAAGAAGAATTTAAAGAAGTAATTCAGACTGAATTTATCCAGGAAGAACTCCCTGAAGAACAAGCTTCCAAAGGAATAAAACATAAATTTAAATTTTCATTTGATGTAGCTCATGAACCCCCCAAAATCTTAAAAGAAATTCAGCCAAATATTAGGTGTAGAGAAGGAGATTCAGTTGTGCTTGAATGCTTAATATCCACAGAATCTCAGGTAGTGATAACATGGCTTCAGAATAACCAGGCTTTGATATCCAATGGCAATCTTTTCTTTGAAGAAGGAAATGGTATTTATAGGTTGCATATTTGCAAAGTTTCCTTATCAGATGCCGGCATTTACAAATGTGTTGCTGAAAACAATGCAGGTTTAGTGGAAACTGCTTGCAATCTCTTAGTAGATCCCTCTCAAGAAGCATTTTCCAATATTGTAGATCAATCTGACCTCAAAACTGCACAAAACCAGGTCAAAGAAATCCAGGAGCAGATGACAAGAGAAGAACAGGACAATTATTTTGAATCCTCAGTAGAACTAATGGAGAGCAATTTTCATGATAAACAACACAGTGTAAGCCAGGAGTTCCAGAATATTAGTACACTAGACATCCTAGGTGAAAAAACACGTACAGCAGCCAGTGAAAAAGAAGCTAGAGAAAGGGAATTTCACTTACCTAAATATCTAAATGATATAATGAAATCCCTACTTACAGATGAAAGTGAAAATCCAGGTTTTCACATTCAATATAAAAAAGAAGCAAGTAAAGAAATGGACTCAGAAGAAGAAGAAAATATAGTAGCCATTGTTCCAGAGCTGGACACCTACCATGTTAATAAGCTAAGAGATGTATCTGTTGAAAAAGGCAAAGTTAAAACAGAAAACGTATGTAAGTATGCAGCTAGAGAAACATCAAGCAGCCATCTTGAAATGGCTATGGAGAGTCATAGAGAAAGAGATAGGTCTCCTACTGTAGAAGACGCTTCTGTAAATCATGATCTAGAGCATGAAGCAAAGAGTGTAGAAGATAAAACCATTGTATTTGAGCACATACAGAAGATTTCTGCAGATCGTTGTTTTACTGAATTTAGGTCTGCAGTCAACCACAGTCTATCAGCCAATGTAGATCAAAATAAATCTAAATATAAGAACATTTCTAAGGAAGCTGAGAATCAAGAATTTCAAATTGCATCGAAAATGCTTGATTTTGAGGCTGTCAGAAAAGAAAATATGGAAGAAGCAATCAGTGAGCAACAAGAAATGCTCAAAGGAAGAAAAGAGGAAGTATCTGGAAGCCCCATTATTGGCAAAACTGGTTTGCTCCATAATGGAAAACACTTTAGCTCTGGTGAAGAACAAGCAAGAGAAATAGATCAAAATAAAGAACTAATGGGGAAAACACAAGCAGATAGCCCTGAAGTTGTATTTGATTTAAAAGAAATTCTTCCTGTTAGAGAAAATGTAGACAATAATATTCAAGAACAAATTGAATCTCAGGAGCCTATCAATGTATGTCTAACTTCTGATAAACCGTGTATCTCACTTGATGAAATACAGAATGAAGAAAACATTGATAAAGAACAAATCAGACTTAAATCAGAGGATGCATATGTCCAACTTTCCTCATGTGTTGAAAATGTTAGCCAAACTCAGGAAGATGTAACTCCTGAACTTCCATGTTCTGGATTTGAAGGAAAGGAACAGGATGTAGAAAAAAAACATGAAATTGCACAAAAACATACATCATTTCTAGAGCAAGAAACAGTTTTCAATCAATCCATTCAGCAAATAGAAATGAATGTAGATGTTATTCAAGACCAA